GTGAATTATTGCACAGTGTGGGCTACTTTGCTGGTGGGAGTGAGTTGCTTTGAGGGTCTCAGTTTGGGATATACTGCCCCCTGCTGGACGCTGTGTGCCCTTCACATTCACTGCTCCCAGGTGGGGTACTGACGACCTCTGGATACAGCTACCGCTGCTCTCGCCAGGTAAGTGTCTGTGTGGTACTGTGGGTCTTTCAGGGTATATTAATGTATACAGTGTTATTCATAGCCTTCCTTTAACCCTTCCATGCCCAGCCAGGGGGGGATTGTTTGACCCCTAGCCCGGGACAGTGAATGGGTTAATGGAGTGAGTTGTGTTTATTCTTTGTGAGTGATCTCAGATTAATATATTATATGTTATTATTGGGATTTACTGGGGCAGGGGGGCAATAATATAGGATTGGGATATGTAGAATTAGAAAATAATCCTAATACTTTATTCACCTTAAACTTCCCCCTGTTAACCCTTTCAGGGTGTAAGGACAGACTGTTTCCTTGTGAATATAACATTGCTTGTGTTTCTGTAAGAAGTGTATCTGTGGATTATTAGGGTGATTTGTATTGGGTTATCCCTGTGTATATATATATATATATATTGTATTGGATTATCTAATACTGTGTCCCTGTGTGTATTTATATACATATATATTGTATTGGATTATCTAATACTGTGTCCCTGTGTGTATTTATATATATATATTGTATTGGGTTATCTAATACTGTGTCCCTGTGTGTATTTATATATATATATTGTATTGGGTTATCTAATGCTGTGTCCCTGTGTGTATTTATATATATATTGTATTGGGTTATCTAATGCTGTGTCCCTGTGTGTATTTATATATATATATTGTATTGGGTTATCTAATGCTGTGTCCCTGTGTGTATTTATATATATATATTGTATTGGGTTATCTAATGCTGTGTCCCTGTGTGTATTTATATATCTATATTGTATTGGGTTATCTAATGCTGTGTCCCTGTGTGTATTTATATATATATATATATATATTGTATTGGGTTATCTAATGCTGTGTCCCTGTGTGTATATATATTGTATTGGGTTATCTAATACTGTGTCCCTGTGTGTATTTATATATATATATATATATTGTATTGGGTTATCTAATGCTGTGTCCCTGTGTGTATTTATATATATATTGTATTGGGTTATCTAATGCTGTGTCCCTGTGTGTATTTATATATATATATTGTATTGGGTTATCTAATGCTGTGTCCCTGTGTGTATATATATATATATTGTATTGGATTATCTAATGCTGTGTCCCTAATACTGTGTCCCTGTGTGTATTTATATATATATTGTATTGGGTTATCTAATGTTGTGTCCCTGTGTGTATTTATATATATATATATATTGTATTGGATTATCTAATGCTGTGTCCCTGTGTGTATTTATATATATATTGTATTGGGTTATCTAATGCTGTGTCCCTGTGTGTATTTATATATATATATTGTATTGGATTATCTAATGCTGTGTCCCTGTGTGTATTTATATATATATTGTATTGGGTTATCTAATGCTGTGTCCCTGTGTGTATTTATATATATATATATATATATATATATATATATATATATTGTATTGGGTTATCTAATGCTGTGTCCCTGTGTGTATTTATACAGGGAGTGCAGAATTATTAGGCAAGTTGTATTTTTGAGGATTAATTTTATTATTGAACAACAACCATGTTCTCAATGAACCCAAAAAACTCATTAATATCAAAGCTGAATATTTTTGGAAGTAGTTTTTAGTTTGTTTTTAGTTTTAGCTATGTTGGGGGATATCTGTGTGTGCAGGTGACTATTACTGTGCATAATTATTAGGCAACTTAACAAAAAACAAATATATACCCATTTCAATTATTTATTATTACCAGTGAAACCAATATAACATCTCAACATTCACAAATATACATTTCTGACATTCAAAAACAAAACAAAAACAAATCGGTGACCAATATAGCCACCTTTCTTTGCAAGGACACTCAAAAGCCTGCCATCCATGGATTCTGTCAGTGTTTTGATCTGTTCACCATCAACATTGCGTGCAGCAGCAACCACAGCCTCCCAGACACTGTTCAGAGAGGTGTACTATTTTCCCTCCTTGTAAATCTCATATTTGATGATGGACCACAGGTTCTCAATGGGGTTCAGATCAGGTGAACAAGGAGGCCATGTCATTAGATTTTCTTCTTTTATACCCTTTCTTGCCAGCCACGCTGTGGAGTACTTGGACGCGTGTGATGGAGCATTGTCCTGCATGAAAATCATGTTTTTCTTGAAGGATGCAGACTTCTTCCTGTACCACTGCTTGAAGAAGGTGTCTTCCAGGAACTGGCAGTAGGACTGGGAGTTGAGCTTGACTCCATCCTCAACCCGAAAAGGCCCCACAAGCTCATCTTTGATGATACCAGCCCAAACCAGTACTCCACCTCCACCTTGCTGGCGTCTGAGTCGGACTGGAGCTCTCTGCCCTTTACCAATCCAGCCACGGGCCCATCCATCTGGCCCATCAAGACTCACTCTCATTTCATCAGTCCATAAAACCAGAAAAATCAGTCTTGAGATATTTCTTGGCCCAGTCTTGACGTTTCAGCTTGTGTGTCTTGTTCAGTGGTGGTCGTCTTTCAGCCTTTCTTACCTTGGCCATGTCTCTGAGTATTGCACACCTTGTGCTTTTGGGCACTCCAGTGATGTTGCAGCTCTGAAATATGGCCAAACTGGTGGCAAGTGGCATCGTGGCAGCTGCACGCTTGACTTTTCTCAGTTCATGGGCAGTTATTTTGCGCCTTGGTTTTTCCACACGCTTCTTGCGACCCTGTTGACTATTTTGAATGAAACGCTTGATTGTTCGATGATCACGCTTCAGAAGCTTTGCAATTTTAAGAGTGCTGCATCCCTCTGCAAAATATCTCACTATTTTTGACTTTTCTGAGCCTGTCAAGTCCTTCTTTTGACCCATTTTGCCAAAGGAAAGGAAGTTGCCTAATAATTATGCACACCTGATATAGGGTGTTGATGTCATTAGACCACACCCCTTCTCATTACAGAGATGCACATCACCTAATATGCTTAATTGGTAGTAGGCTTTCGAGCCTATACAGCTTGGAGTAAGACAACATGCATAAAGAGGATGATGTGGTCAAAATACTCATTTGCCTAATAATTCTGCACTCCCTGTATATATATATATTGTATTGGGTTATCTAATGCTGTGTCCCTGTGTGTATTTATATATATATATTGTATTGGATTATCTAATGCTCTGTCCATGTGTGTATTTATATATATATTGTATTGGATTATCTAATGCTGTGTCCCTGTGTGTATTTATATATATCTATATTGTATTGGATTATCTAATGCTGTGTCCCTGTGTGTATTTATATATATCTATATTGTATTGGGTTATCTAATGCTGTGTCCCTGTGTGTATTTATATATATATATATATATTGTATTGGGTTATCTAATGCTGTGTCCCTGTGTGTATTTATATATATATATATTGTATTGGGTTATCTAATGCTGTGTCCCTGTGTGTATTTATATATATATTGTATTGGGTTATCTAATGCTGTGTCCCTGTGTGTATTTATATATATATTGTAACATACAGTAATGAAAACTACGAGGACATAAACCGTTACCTTTCTACTTCAAAATATACAACTTAGTCAGCTTTAATAGCAATGCTAACGAATGGGGAGGATTCGAACAGACATACACAGTACAGCATAAATTAAACATAGCCGGCGACGCCACACTATACCGGCGCGCAGTACACAACAGAAAATAGGCACAACCATTCTATCTTAGGCAGTCCCAAGTGGCTAGGTTTGCCACATATTAGGGAAAATTTATTCATACTTACCGTAATTTTCTTTTCCTGGCTATTATTCATGGCAGCATTTAACATATGGGTTTAGCTCCTCCCTCTAACCCTCAGGACAGGAAACACAATCAATTAAACAATTAAGCATACCTTCCCCTTGTATAATAGGAACCCCATCAGCCATCACACCTCAGTCAAGTAACAAGAAGCATATCCAATAGAGGGTGGGAAACCAAATGCTGCCATGAATAATAGCCAGGAAAAGAAAATTACGGTAAGTATGAATAAATTTTCCCTATTCCTGGCTAATCATGGCAGCATTTAACATATGGGATTCCCCAAGCAATAACAACACAGGGAGGGAAATGCATGCTACAAAAAATAGTTTAATATAGAGATCATCTATGAGGATTAAAGGAGTTCAGGACCGACAGGCCAAACTCCGAATCCGAGCGGGAAGCAATATCCACTTTGTAGTGATTTACAAAGGTCTTTAGAGAAGACCAATTGGCAGCCTTACAGATGCTCTCTGCAGGAACTCCTGACTCTGCAGCCCATGAAGTAGCGATAGATCTTGTGGAATGAGCCCTGATGTTTTTCGGAACAGGAACACCACACGCTCCATAAGCCCTGGAGATAGCCGAAACCGTCCAGGAACGAAGAGTGGAGACTGAGGCGGCTTCACCTTTGCGAGAACCCCAAGGTATAATGAATAATTGAGAGGATTTCCTCCAAGCAGCAGAGCGTTCTATATACATCAGTAAACATCTACGAAGATCCAGCATATGACACCTTGATTCCTCAGGGGTAGAAGGATGCTGAAAATAGGCAGGCAAGATAATTTCCTGATTGAGATGGAAAGATGTAACAACCTTGGGAAGAAATTCAGGCCTCGGTCGGAGAACGACCCTATCATCAAAGAATGAAGTGTAAGGTTCCTCGGCTGATAAAGCTCTGATGTCAGACATTCTTCTGGCAGAGACTAGAGCCAGTAATAATAGAGTCTTCTGAGAAAGGATCTGCAAATGTATGCTCCCAATAGGTTCGAAGGGAGACTCCGTTAGGGCCTGCAGTACCAGAGGCAAATTCCAAGGAGACGCCAGTTGTCTGATAGGAGGTCTAATCCGTACAACGGCCTTGAAAAAACGAACCACCATAGGATGAAGTGCCCATCGAATGCCAGAGAGAGCCGAGATAGCTGAACAGTGAACTTTCAGGGTGTTAAGACTAAGACCCTTCTCCAGGCCCACTTGTAGAAAACCTAAAACTTGAGAGACTGTAGGAGTACCCATGTTCTGTATAGAAGAATTTAACCAGACCTCAAAGGCTTCCCATATTCTGTGGTAAGTAGATGAAGTGGAGATCTTCCTGGAACATAAAAGGGTAGCCACCACCTGTTCCGATAAGCCCTGTTTCTTCAGGGATTGCCTTTCAGAAGCCAAGCATGAAGCCTGAGCTTGTAAGGTTCTGGATGAACCACCGGGCCTTGTGTCAGCAGATTCTCCGAGACTGGAATCTCCCAAGGATCCTCCAATGCCAACCTCCTCAGAAGAGGAAACCAAGGACGTCTTGGCCAGAAGGGGATCACTGCAATCACCCTGCAACGTTCCCTGGAAATCTTCCTCAGAACAGCTTGAATGAGAGGAACTGGGGGAAAGACATATACCAGATGAAAGTGCCATTTGATTGATAGAGCATCTTGATCCTGCGCCCTCGGATGGAATCTCCTTGAAACAAAACAAGGAACTTGAGTGTTCTGAGCTGTAGCCATGAGATCCACTTGGGGAAGATCCCACCTCTGGACCAATTGCTGAAACACCGTCCTTGACAGGTGCCATTCCGTGGCTTCTACCAGGTGTCTGCTGAGGAAGTCCGCCAAGACATTCTCCTTTCCTGGAAGATAGACCGCACGTAGACCTTCCACATGTATCTGTGCCCAGGTCATGATTGCTGATACTTCTTTCATCAGTGAAACACTCCTGGTGCCTCCTTGATGGTTGATATAGGCGGCAGCCGCTCTGTTGTCCACTCTCAACTTCACCCAGGCTCTTTTGATCAGATGCCGAAAATGAAGAGGAGCCAGAAACGTTGCTCTCAATTCCCTTATATTTGAAGGCAGGTGCTGAGCATTCTGAGTCCATTCTGCCTGGACAAAGGAATTTCCCAGATGAGCACCCCAACCGAACTGACTGGCATCTGTCGTGATGACTACCCAGTCGACTTCCTTCAAAGGAAAACCTCTGGAGATGTTTTCTTCTTTCATCCACCAATGAAGCTTCCTTTTCAGGCTGAGAGGAATGTGGATCTGCTTCTCCTAGTCGTCTGAGCTGGATTTGAAGTTTTTCAGGAGATGCTGTTGAAGAGGACGAAGATTCCAATGCGCCCATCTGACCAGGTCTATAGTAGAGGTCAGGGTACCCAGGAGTTTCATAAACTCCCTTGCGGAAGCAGAAGCCTTCTGAAGAAAAACCTGCATACGATCCTGCAGCTTCAATTTTCTTTCTTGGGCGAGAGATACCATCGCATTGAGGGTATTGAAGCATGCTCCTAAGAACACCAGCTCCCTTGAAGGTTTTAAATGACTCTTCTCGTGGTTGATTAGCCACCCAAACCAAGAGAGAGTCTCGAGTACTAGATGTCTGTGTTGGAGTAACATCTCGAAGTCTGAGGCCACTACCAGAATGTCGTCGAGGTAGTGGTAAATGGCTACATCCATCTTCCTCAGGAAAGCAATTACCGTGACCAGTATCTTTGAGAAGGTTCTCGGGGCTGTACTTATCCCAAAGGGAAGAGCCTGAAACTGGAAGTGCTCCCCTTTTACACAGCATTGAAGAAACTTCTGATGTCTTTCTGTGACCGGAACATGGAAGTAGGCATCTTTTAGGTCTATTGAGATTAACCAGTCTCTGTGGTGAATCACTGGAATGATGGAACGGATGGATTCCATACGAAACTTTCTTATCCTTAAGAAGATGTTGAGCTGGTGTAGATCTAGAATAGGTCTCCACTTTCCTCCTGGTTTCTTTACTAAGAACAGGGGAGAATAGAACCCTTGGAACCTTTCTTTCACAGGAACCGGAACAATGACCCTTTCCAGAAAAAGATTGGCAACATAATGGGTCAAGACTTCTCTTTTTTGTCTGTCGACAGGGAGTCTTGTTCTGATGAATCTTGGTGGAGGGGAAATATCTTCGAACTCCAGAGAATATCCTGCGGTGATTACGGAATTCACCCAAGCATCTGGAATCACACTCCAGGTCCTCCAGAAGAACGAAAGGCGTGCTCCTACATGGGGAACCTGGTATAAGCCACCTTCAGAACTGTCTGGTGGGGCGAAAGGAGGAATTTTGAGCCTTTGGTCTGGAAGATTTCCCGGTTTGACCACTCTTCCAATTGGAGAGCCGAGCATATTCTCTGCCTGGACGTTAGGTTTTACTATCTCTATATCCTCCCTGTGGCCTGTAAGGACGATGGTCCTGTTGTGGTCTTTTTGGACGCCTGTCCTGTGGAAGCAAGATTTGCTTGACCTCAGCCGCTTTTTTAATCGCCTCCTCAAGTGGTCTGCCAAAAAGCACCTCTCCCAGAAATGGCACGGTACATAAATTATTCTTGGAAGATAGGTCAGCTCCCCAGGATCTCAACCAAAGAGCCCTTCTGGCAGTAACTGAATGAGCCATAACCTTGGAAAAAATCCTGATAAGATCTGTGGAGGATTCCAACAGCCAATCACTGGCAAGTTTGATCTCCTTCAAGGAGTCCGTCATGCGACGTCTACTCACTCCTCTCTCAATATCCTCTTCCAAATCAAGAATCCATGAACGTAATGCTCTGGACAAAGCAGAGATAGAGACTGCTGGATGACAACCCAAGCCTGCTGTAGTGAAGACCTTAGAAAGATCTGCGTCAATTCTCTTATCCATGGGTTCTTTGAGAGAAGCATTACTATCAATCGGAAGAGTTGATCTTTTTGCCACCTTAATAATTGGAGCATCCACTTTAGGGACCGCTGTCCACATTCTTGAATCCTCCTCCTTAATCGGGTACAATTTTGATAATCTACCCTGACTTGTAATCCTTTTACCAGGAGCATTCCATTCTGAGCGAATCAGTTCTTTAATGGATCTGTGCACTGGAAAGGAAGGTTTCCTCTTATGGAGATCTCCGAAGTGTCTATCAGAAGTAGAAACTTCCCTGACTTCTTCTGGCAAATCTAGAGTCTTTCTCACTGCCTTGATTAGATGCTCCATCGCCTTTGTGTCCAATGAACACGGTTGTTCCGTGGACTCTTCCTCACTAGAAGAGATAAGCTCCAAATCCAAGGAACCAGCAGGATGTCTGAAGTCATCTTCAGATAGGTCGGATTCTTGGCCAAAGCTCTCACGCCTGGGTCTTTTGCCTCTATTGGTTTCTGAAATCCCTTCCGCCACTGCTTGCTTAATCCAATAAGCTATATCCTGAGATGAGGACGTAGAGGCTTGAGGAGACCTGCGATGTTCCGACTCTCCTGCAATCATGGATAAACATTTGCGGCATAACCTGCAGTTATCCAAAGGCCTTGCGCCACATCCAGGGCAGGCCGCCGGTTTATCCCTCCTCTTAGATGGAGATCTAGGGCCAGACCGGTCTTGAGGGCTGTAAAACACAGAAGTCATATGACTGTACCCTCCATGCACTCTTTTTTAATGTAGTAAATAGAATATAACGTAATGCTCACCTATGACCTATAGTAGATCTTGTTGATTTAGCTGATGGAGATGCAGGATCCATTTTTTTATTTATTTTTATAGAAGGGCTGCATAAAAAAAAAAAGTGTCACCATGAACTTCATGCAGCAAAAACCTGAACATCCTCATATATTATAGATACATACCTGCAGAGACAGAATATGGCACCAGAGAGCACTGAATAACAGAGGGAACTGAAAACGCCAGCTTTTTTGAAGAAATACCGCCATTTTCAAATTTCCCGCTCTGTGCCTTTAAGGAGGCGCGCATGCGCCGATTGGCGGCAAGTCCGCGGGTCCGCCATTTTGGATGAGGGCAAACATGCCGAAAATCCGGTCGTGGCCATTGCGCATGCGCTGGCGTCTTACCGGATAGATGATCGTCTGATCGAGGTCTGGAGGCTTTATCCTGCGAACTCAGGCTCCAGATGCCAGGGGGACTACCCACCATGGTTCCCAGGGGTTCCCTGCTCGAGGAGAGAAAGGGCTACATGTGCCTGGGCTTCCTGTGGAGGGAGGCTGACCTCCACAGGGTGAAGATCATAGCAGCATGATCAGGTGAGCATAAAGAAAAAAAAAAAAAAACAAAACTTTACCCTTTAAAATTCAGGGAGAAAAAATAAAATAACAACTGTGTATCCTGGGCAGGGGCGTACCTAGAGCATTTGGCACCCGGGGCGGATCCTGTGCTTGGCCCCCCCCCCCTAAAAAAAAAAAAAAAAACCTGTAAAAAATGTTAAAGGTTTTATTTCTTTTATTTTTACAATTTGTAAACTTTGCAAAACAGCTGTCAGCCCCTCCTACAAAACCCTTGTCCTGCCCTGCCCCTCCTACAAAACCTCTGTCCTGCCCCTTCTACAAATCCTGTACTGCCCCATCTACAAAACCCCCGCAACCCCCTTCCACAAATCCCCTGCTTATCCCCCCTTATAAAGACTCCTGTCCCAATACAAAAACCCCACCCCCTTCTACAAAATTCCTGCAGCCCCACACACACATTTACAGGCAGACAATCACACACTCAGTTACAGACAGACAGTCACACACTCATTTACAGGCAGACAGTCACACACAGTCACAGGCAGACAGTCACACATACACATTTCCTCCGTGCGGCCAGTTTATCAGCTGTTTGCTTGAGTGAGCTGTACTGGCCGCACGGCACCCTACCTACCATGGGACACTGTGCGGCCACAGCTCACACAGCCCCCTCCAGCCAGGGCCGGTACAAGGATTTTTGCCGCCCTAGGCAAAAGTAAAGTTTGCCGCCCCCCATGTGACATGACAATGCCCCAACCATATGATTTTCCATGTTAACTAACGCCAGTGCTGCAGTGCCGCCGTGTTTACATTAAAAGGCCTGCAGGGACAGGCTATAGACACCAGAACCACTATATTAAGCTGAAGTGGTTCTGGGGACTATAGTGTTTCTTTAATGTGAGGTAAATGAGAGCTTAGTGCCACGAATAATATACTAGATTGCCTACTTACAACCAGATGAGGATGATGATGGGCTCTTGCTGCAGTCTGGCTCCACTGGTCTGGTGCAGAACAGGCTCTCTGGAGGCGGTTTGTAACTGTGGTCACAAAAATCAATGTTCTGGGAGAACTGGAAGCAGCTCAATTTTTTGGGGGTCCTTTACACAGATCAAGGTCTGGGTCCCAGGGTCCACCTTCATGTTCCACCAATGAGTTTGTTCACAGGGGGTGGAGTGTGTAGGGGATGTCCTGATATGTGTGTAAGGAATGCATTGTGTGAAATTGTG